GGGTATTGGGCTCTCTGGGTTTAGGGGTTTAGGGTGTGGGTTTAGTAGAGGATCTAGGGTTTAGGTTTAGGGGTTTAGGGTGTTGGGGTTTAAGTGGCCTGACAAAATCCCAACAGTGTTCCTAAGGGCTCCTTAAGTTGTTTCATTGTACTATCATTTCCACAAGAGCCCGTTGCAGCTGTTACAAACCCATATCTTGGCTATTGACGGGGTTTAGGTGGTTGGGTTTCGGTTTTATGGCGTACAGTTTTTTGGGGATTGGGATGATTATTTGGAATGTGTGTTTTCTGTGTCTTTCTTGGGTGCTTTGATTTGGGTTACGCGTCAATTACGCTCCAGGGGTTTTGGGCACCACCCTATACCCCCAGACAGTCGAGGACAAGAGTGGCTGCAGTCTTCCTTGCCGAGTCCACCTCTCGAGTTGACATGTTAATCTCTAAGTCTCATTAGCCAGTAGGGTGTAGCTTAGGGTTTAGGGTTCACAACTTGGGTCAAGTGGAGTTGCTAAGTTGCATTGGTGATCAAATGGCTGCGCGCAGGCCTTTTGAGAAGGAGTGTCAGAAAGCGCACTCATGTAGGGGCCTTAATCAGTCGAACAGGGTTCTGGGCTAGTTTATGGTATAGTTTTAATATGGAGCCCGAACAAATAATATTGGCAGTTTTGTAGCTGCTACACTAGATCATCCGGATTCCACGAGCCATGCAGGCAACACAGATTCCAGCCACAGGCGACGTGAGACGCGCGGCTCATCCTTCTGACAACATCGCAGAGGTGGTGACCCGCATGAAGCCGGTCTCAGCTACTGTCCTCCGCGCTACGAGAGCATGCGATGCCCTCGACAACTTCGGTTGTGCCCTGCGCGGGTGTACGACAATGCATCACCTGAGCTACCAGGCTGAAACAATCAGCATGTTTTGGAGTCACAGTTGGCATGGTGAGGCGTGGAGAAAATGGATAACGCTTCTACTCTTCTACAATGGTCAAACTGCGGCCGCCATCGCATGCTTTGGGTCCGCCGTAGCATCTCTCCTTTTTGCCTTGGAGGTGTTGCCTGTCTTGATTGGGCCAGACAACTATTCCGAAAATGTGCCCAAGAGCATGTGGCAATCCTTCTGGGCAGCCCTGGTCGGCATGATCCTGTACTTGTCGGTGCTGGTATTCTGGAGACCCAGCGGGTCGATCTTCCTAGATGTGATCTGCATCGATCAAACGAATAAAAGTGGCAAATCAGACGGATTGCTGAGCATAGGTGCCTTCCTCAAGTCATCACAGTCAATGCTGGTCTTGTGGGATGCCACATACAGCGATCGTTTGTGGACCATGTTTGAGATTGCTGGCTTCTTGAAGAGCCGTAGAGAGGGCGAGAGGCCTAGGATCGTCTTGCGGCCCACCATGCTGGGCCCGTGCTACCTCCTGCAGACTCTGACGGTATTTCTCGTGTATTCAGTCCTTGACAATATCAGTGTACACCTCTCAGCTGACCAACAATGGGTGCTGTGGGTGCTTTACGTGCCTGTTTGCTTCTGTGGCCTATACATCAACACGGCCACTTTCAGGATTTACTTTCGCTCTGTGAATGATTCCATGGATCGACTGGCGCGCTGGAGTCTTGCAGATGTCAATTGCTTCTGCTGCGATGATGGCCACAAGCAGAGCCGTGGACTCTGTGACCGAGAGATTGTGCTCAAGTGCATGCGCACCTGGTTCGGCAGCGTTGAAGAGTTCGAAAAGCGTGTGCGGACGGAGCTCTTGGACATTTTTGTCCACGAGCAGTCCAGGCAACCCTTCACATACAGACAGGTCGTGACTGCTCTCGTGCCTGTGATCTGGAGCTACCTTGACAGGGCATCTGCGTGGTCTCGCTTCACGACTGGCTCGGACGATCCTCGGATTCAGGCACAGGGCTCTTATGTTTAGGGCTCCCCCCGACGGTTTTTGATATTTTGATGGCTTCTTTTGCAGGTATCTCCAACAAATCTGTTCTTTTGCCTACACTTCAACGGGAGTACCGAGTAGAGCTGATGAGCTACTGAGTCTTTGCGACGCCAAGAGCATCAACCATAAACCCTAAAGATAAGCGTGAAAACCAACATGTCCACGCAAATTCTCGACCTGAAGCCAGTACAACAGGCATCCAGAGAGATCATCAGAGGACTCGCATGGTGGTTGGGTGTCGCGCCCGTGGCGTTTCTCATCCAATGTCGACTCGCATGTTTGCTACAAAGAAAGACGAACTGCGAGCCTTTGCTCAACTTGCTGCCGCTTCTGGCCTCCGTTTTCTTCATCCTCGCCGCACTTTTGTTGGAGCAGCTGTTGTTTCAGCACCGATTTATTCGGGGCGATGGACATGTGGTTAACATGGCTCTTCTCGCCGCAGCCGGGCTGCCTTTGGCATGGCTGCTTTACAGATATGTTGGTGCAGGTCCCATGGTGAGAGCTCCAACACGCAGTTGGAATGTATTATGATTACAGAACTCGTGGAGTGTTCGATAGTGTGCAGTGATACCCACACATGCCAAAGGGATGGAATGCATTGTGATTGCAGAACTTGTCCATAGTGTGCAGTGATACCCACACATCCCAAAGGGATACCGATTCTTCAAGCCTATGATGCTTGAGAGTCAAACAAGCATGACGACGACCTCCAAGGGTTTGGCTGTGTCATCTTGACATATGCTCCTGGCCATAAAGCCCTCGACACCATGCCGGGGTCTATGGGTCGGTGGAGCTATGCCTGTGCCTCTGCAAAAATGCTTTTGGCGCCTACCCAGAGAGCCCAATACCCCTCAATTAAGGAATACACCTTAAATCATTATATTAAGGCCCCTATAATTTAAGGTATATTCCTTAACTAATCGGTATTGGGCTCTCTGGGTACAAGACGCCGGCTTGCCGCCAAGGCAAAGACAGGAGCGGGGTGGTCAACTAAACCTGGATCATCAAACCCTAAACCCTAAACCCTAAACCCTAAAAACTAAACCCTAAACCAACCCTCAAGAAAGAAATAAATAGAAATTGCTTGTTGCTGTTGGCCATTCGAAAGCTCATATTTTCGGTCAGGCACAACGTTGCCATTTTCGAATAAACCAATTTCAATTTAGCCCACAGCCCAGGCCCAGACCAGCAGCCCACAGCCCAGCCCAGCCCAGCCCCAGCCCCAGCCACCCCACGCAAATCGCCCAGCCCAGCCCAGCCCAGCCCAGCCCAGCCCAGCCCACCCAACAGCCAGCTCCAGATTCAAAATGTACTTCCACAAAAAAACGTTTCGGTCAAAACGTTATTGGCACCCAAACCCTTAACTATAAACCCTAAACCCTAAACCCTCAAGAAAGAAATAAATAGAAATTGCTTGTTGCTGTTGGTCTCCTTTGTCTGGTCGGGACACAACCTTTCCATTTTCGAATAAACCAATTTCCGTTTCCTAGATCAGCCTTCGCAGGAAGTAGTTCTGCCAAAACCGATCTGCTTTTCGGTCGGCTGTAGTGCACGACTAGGCTGATCTTTGCAAGGGTTTCGGTACTGCACCATCGCCTCGCTGGATTGCGCACACGCAAAGCTTCGAAGATTCGTCTAACTTATAAGGACCCTGGAGTTCCAGGTGGCGTTCTTGCTCGCAATGTAGGATGGACTCAGGTAAGCTTTGCTTGTCATCTTTCGTGTGCTAGCAAGCCCAAAAACTTAGCGAGCAGCGTGGCATAGGCCAGGCTAGCCTTCCTCCAACCTAGAAGGACCCTCGAAGTCCTCTTAGCTTTGTTGCTCTTTGCAATGCAGAGTTTAGGTTTTAGGGGGAGAGGGGTTGTCACTGTCTGGACGCTACAGCGCTGCTCAAGCTTCGAACTCTCCGATTGCTTCCTGCCCCCCTTTCTTCTGTGCCTTTGTGGCCAGTATGACTCTCCGCTACGCCGAGGGAGACTTCGTTTGCCAGGAGTGTGGGAGCACTCGTATGGAATACGACGAGGCTCTGCGGGGTGGGTTCCTTTCAGGGTTCTTCAGTTCCTTCGGGGTCGCTCCTTCCGGTTCTGGTTTCCCCCGGCTTAGGATCACGAGAGGGTTTCCTTTCACGAGAAGGGTGGGAGTGGGGGGGTTCCCTGCAGCAGGACAGCAAATTTTGATTGCTGGGACCCCTTGGGGCTCAGCGCTACCGACGAGGTACACGGGTTCAGGTTCCGGGTTTTTAGTTCCGGGGTTCGGGTTCTGATTTTCAGTTCGGGGGTGCCGTTGTTGCTTTTTGTTCGCTCGGGGACGAGGACGAAGTTTTGTTTTCTAGAGACTGACTTCGTTCAGGAGGAGCACGTCGATGTCAGTGTCTTCGAGACACAGACCAAGCAAGGCGTCAAGGCGTACGAAGTCCTTGGTCTGAGTTAAGGTGTGATTAGACAGAGTAGAGTTCTTGGATTTCTTTTGGGTTCCTTCTAGTTCTTCTAGTCCCTAGGGTTCCTGGACACCTCAGGCGAGGCACACGCATTTGGCGGACCTCAGTCGACGTCGTTGGCGCCGCACCGTCACCCCGCCGGAAGCGGACGTCTAAGAAGTGAGGGTGTATAGATAGCGGATTGGGTATCGTAGGAAGACTTAGCATTACTTAGCTTCAGGTTTTAGAATAGGAACTACAAGGGATGCAAAACTTTAGGGTTGTACTCCGTCCGCTTCTAAATTGAACGCGTGCCTTTTCTGAAACCTGTCTCTGACGGTTTCCGCTGCACGCTGTACTATCATCTCGAACAAGAGCTTCAATTCGCCGTTCGCGGCTCCAAAACACTAGCGTTGGGAGGGCGGTCGGGAGGGAAGGGCTGTTCTGGGGCTTCGGGGTGGAAGGGGGCGATAGGGTTCTTAGTTTTGCGGTTCTTTTCCGGGTTTTCTTGGTTTTTTTCTTTTGGACAAGGGTTTTTTTCTATGCTCCTGGGCTAAGGGGCTTCCAAGGTTTTCTTGGGAGGAAAGGGCTGTTCCGGGGCTTCGGTTCCTTTCCGGGTTTTCTTTGTTTTGGGCGGTTGCTTCTGCTTAACGCTTTCCTTTTGAACAAGTGTTCGTTTTCTCTAAGCTCGTGGGCTAAGGGGGCTTCAAGGGTCTTCTTGGATTCCGGGGTTCTGGTACGTCACCCCCCAGCCCCACTTCCGGCTTCGGCCCCTGCCCGCACCTCAGCCCAGCAGCCCAGCCACCCCCCGCCAGCCCAGCCCAGAAGCCAGCAGCCCATCCCCCAGCCCAGCCCACAGCCCCCGCCGAAGCCAGCAGCCCACCCCCAGATTCAAAGTATGGTTCCAAAAAAAACGTTTCGGTCAAAACTCGGTCAAAAACTTTGGCACCCGAACCCTTAACAAATTTCTAGAAACCCTAAACCCCAAACCCTAAACCCTAAACCCTAAAAAGAGGAGCCCCGAGGGTGAAGAGCCCTAGGCCCTAAACCCCAAATGCCGAAAGAAGGGAGGATTCGAGCCCTCTGCCGCACCTCCGTCTTCGGAAGCTCCGTGGCTGCCCTCGGCTATCCGATGGTAGGTCGTAGTTTGTTTTGGTATTTACTTGTATATGAGTATATCTATGAGTATACTACTATATCCGTATATTAGTATAGTAATTATGTGAGAGTATATGTATACTCGTATATACAGCCTATTCAATGTATTAGTAACTTGGTACACTAGTATATCAGTATATCAGCATATTCCTATATTCGTACATCAGGATATGAGGATAGTAGGATATTAGCATATGAGTATATTCGTATGTCCGTATATTCGTATGTTACCATACTAGAAAAACATCCTGAATATGTTTCAGGAAACGATGCTGAACCTGAAGGCGTTGGGGTTCGGCACAGGCACCAACCCTAAACCCTAAACCCCAAACCCTAAACCCTAATCCCTAAACCCCAAACCCTAAACCCTAAACCCTCAACCTTCCTGATATAGACAGGGGTCCCGCTTTCACGGTCTGAGGTTTTTGAGTCACTCTTTGTGCGAGGCTGCTGCCCTAAACCCTAAACCCTCACGCCTACCTGAAACGCCAAGGCCCCCAAACATTCCTAAGCCGCAAGGCCAAGACATTTTTATCTTCAATCTACTGCCAGGGCTTTGGGGGGTGGATTTCGGGGGGACGGGGCATTCTTGCAGTAGTTTTCCTTCAGAGCTGCCATTGGTCCTATTCTGCTTCTCGTATCATGTACCCCAAGATGCTAACAAACAGAAGTTAAGCCCTAAACCCTAAACCCTAAACCCTAAACCCTTAAAGCCCTAAAGGCCTAAAACCCTAAACCCCTAAACCCCGAAACCCTTACTTAAACCCTTAAATTATTAAACCCCTGAGCCCTTACTTAAACCCTTAAACCCCTAAGCCCTAAATTGCAAGCTAGTGACGCTCCAAGCCCGAAGGCTGCGCCCTAAAAAACCGAACCCAAAGCCGTGCATCGAAACCCTAAGCCCAAAATGCCGGAAGTCTAGACATCTCTAAACCCTAAATGGGTTTAGGGTTTAGGGTTACAGGGAATAGAAAGCCTACACCCACTTAGGGTTTCGGGAATAGAAACCTACACCCACCCGAAAGCTCTAAGCTTCGTAGGCCCTCATGGCTTTGTTTCAGGATCAGTCGGTGGTCTGAAGAGGAGTCGGCGCCCGGGTCTCCGATCAAAGCAACAGGGCGGGAACGATCTTCGGGGCTTGTCTAGGCTTTTTCTTGGGGTGTGTCGGGGCTTGAGGTTTCCATCTGGGTAGGAGGGGGTTGCTGAGCGGTTTCATGAGGGGTTTTGTCAGGGTCCTGCAGGGTTTTTGTAAAGGTATGAGGGTTTCAGAAGGTTTCTGCAGGGTTCTACATGGGATTTACAGCGCTTTAGAAGGTCAAGGCACTGCTCGTCGCAAGGGTCTCGCGAAGAATGACCTTAAACTGCAAGCCCCAACCCTAAACCCTAAACCCTAAAACGTAAACCCTAAACCCTAAGCCCTGAGCCCTGAGCCTTCATTCCCCAAGGTTTCGTGGTATGCTTGTTCTGCGGCCTAAACCCCCTAAAACCCCGTATATGACCGGGCCGGAAGCATTGAAAGAGGGATGGCAAGGCGACTTTGCTTTGTGATCAGATGCTGCGCGCGAGCCGTTCAGCACGAGCTTCACAAACGGCTACTGTAAGAGCCTTAATACTATACTGTCTATACTATTTTGGGTTTTCCTTATTAAATTATATCTACAGTATAGTATACCCTAACACCCTAGTCTAATTATTAACGCTTCTACATTAGGTCATCGGGGCTCCACCAGCCGTGCTGTCAATGCAGATCCCGGCCACAACCGAGGAGAGGGTCGTATGTGAACCGTCTGATGCCATCGCCGGAGTCGTGACCTGCATGCAGCCGGTCTCAGCAACCGTCCTCCGGGCTACAAGAGCATGCGACGCCCTCGCAGGATTTGGTTCTGCGCTGCGAGGGTCTAAGAGATTGCATCACAAGAGCTACCAGGCCCAAAAGATCAGCATGTTTTGGAGTCACAGTTGGCATGGTTCGGCTTGGAGAAAATGGATAACCCTACTTCTCTTCTACAACGGTCAAACTGCGACTGCCATCGCATGCATCGGGTCCGCCGTAGCATCTCTCCTTTTCGCCTTCGAGGTCTTGCCTGTCCTGAGTGGGGCCGACAACTTCACCGAGCATGTGTCGCAGGACAAGTGGCAATCCTTCTGGGCAGCCTTGGTCGGCATGATCCTGTACTTGTCGGTGCTGGTATTCTGGAGACCCAGTGGGTCGATCTTCCTAGATGTGATCTGCATCGATCAAGTGAATACACGCAGCAAAGGTCAGGGATTGCTGAGCATGGGTGCCTTCCTCAAGTCATCACAGTCAATGCTGGTCTTGTGGGATGCCACATACAGCGATCGTTTGTGGACCATGTTTGAGATTGCTGGCTTCTTGAAGAGCCGCAGAGAGGGCGAGAGGCCTAGAATCGTCTTGCGGCCCACCATGCTGGGCCCAGTCTACCTCGTGCAGACACTGACTCTTTTTCTCCTTCTCACAGTTCTTGGCAATATCAGTATACACGTCTCAGGCGACAGCGAATGGGCGGTGTGGACTCTTTACCTGCTTGTTTGCTTCGGTGTCCTCTACATCAACTCTGCCGGCTTCAGGCTTTACTTTCGCTCTGTGAATGATTCCATGGATCGACTGGCACACTGGAGTCTTGCAGACGTCAATTGCTTCTGCTGCAGCGATGGCCACAATACGAACCGTGGACTCTGTGACCGAGAGATTGTGCTCAAGTGCATCCGCACATGGTTCGGCAGCGTTGAAGAGTTTGAAAAGCGTGTGCGGACGGAGCTCTTGGACACTTTTGTCTACGAGCAGTCCAGGCAACCCTTCACATATGGACAGGTCGCCATTGCTCTTGTCCCATTTTTCTGGAGCAGCCTTGACAGAGCGTCCGTGTGGGCTCGCTTCGCTGCTGATCTGGATGCATGGAGTGCGGCATCGCGAGAAGTTGTGGCATCGAGGGAGGTCATACGGGGCTTGGGATTGTGGTTGGGAGTCTGCCCTATGGCGTTTCTCGTCCAATGTCGACTCGCATGTTGCTTGCAACGGAAGTGCCGATGGTCGATTTGTGAGCACTTGCTCAACTCGCTGCCGGTCTTCGCTACCGGTTTCTTCTTTTCTGTGCATCTGCTTCTGGAACAACTGTTGTTTTACCACCCGTTTCTTGAGTATGATGGACACGGACATCTACCCAGCACGATTCTGCTCACCGCGACTGTGCTGCCTTTGGCATGGCTGCTTTACAGATACGTTGGGGCAGGTCCGGCTGTGAGAGCACGGACACTCAACCGAAAGATGATGTTTAATGCGTGATGGTGTCATATCGGCAGAACTGGTGGAGTTTTCGGAGCTTGCAAGGTGATCCGCACATCCTAAGCAGGAAGTTGTGCTTTTCAAGTGCGTGCTTTGTAGGGCAGACGCACCTGCGCACCTTTGGTGGCCCGGCTGCTAGTTTTTGCCAGAAGCGATGACTACGGAAGCAACAGCAATAACAGTAGTCTTACGGACTCCTACGCTGGATTTCACGGGCGAGGAAGGGGATAGAACCTAAGCCCTAGTTATTGCGCCAGCATAGACCCCGAAAAAGTGAAAAATTCGCGTGTCAGACTCCCCGACCACCCCCCTTTAGTCAAAATGCGCGCTGCGCACCGGAAAGCGCGGCGGCAGGAAGACGAGTCCCTGAACCCTGAACCCTAAACCCTAAACCCTAGACCCTGTACCCTAAGCCCTAAACCCTAAGCCCTAAACCCTAAGCCCTGAACCCTAAGCCCTAAACCCAAGCCCTAAACCCAAACCCCTGCACCCTAAACCCTAAACCCTAAACCCTTGATCTGGCGGGAGCACGATTTCGGGAGGCGGCCAGGCGCTCGTCTTTGGCGTGCACGCAGCAAGTAACTGCAGGACTCTGGTCGCTAGTGTACTATAAATCCAGACCATTGGGTTTAGGGTTTAGGGCTTAGGGCTTAGGATTTAGGTTTTAGGGTTTAGGGTTAAAGGTCCCTACATTTGTGTGGCACTGCTAGGACCG